AGTGAGTCACCTAAACTGCTGACAGGCTTAGTTTCTCCACTTCTAAAATGGGGACAATAATAGCACTGACCTCAAAGGGTTATTGTGGAGATCAAATTGGAAGATGTATAAAAATCACTTTCTAAACGTTGAAGTAGTATATGAAAAAGAGCTATCATGAATACCATATTACATTAGAAGTGCATTAAGAAGGTACAAAACAAAAGTGCTATATGAGGTTTGAGGGGAATGGAAAAGAAATGGCAAATTGGGGACAAAAATTGATACTGTAGGCATAGAACCTTGGATATATTGGTATTGCTCATCTCTGTTCCTCCACTCTTGGGTCCCCACTGCCATCAACTCCCACAGGCATTCCTTTGAAGCAAATTTAATGTGTTTATATGTTCTATACAGGGAACAGCAAAGCACCTTATACACAAAGGCCACCAATAAACGTAAGATAAGAATGCTGGCATTGTCTTGTTTTGAGCTTTGGCCTCTTTGAAGCTGGTGTTTTGGTCTAGTACCACTGGGCCTGAGGCATTTTCTTAGAAGTCACCTGAGGCATAATCACTCTCATTGTCTTAGAGGTGGCATTGAGCCAGTTCATCAGTTTCCTCTTGGGACTGGTAAACAAGGACTATGGTAACCTGTTCTGACAAGATTCGTTCCACAGGTGAAATGCATGGTTGTGTTGGGCACTAAAAAGGATAAAGAAGAAACAAAACATGGGACCCCTGCCCACCCTTATGCCTCAATTCCTTGCCATTTGAGCTATACTCTACTGACACTCCTCTTTCCAAGTTGAATGGTCTTTTCTCATTCCTTCCCCTCCTCCACTTCTCTGTATCATTTAAAACTGTGGAGCATCACAATCTAGTAAAAAAAAAATGTCCTATTGGATTCCAGAATACTGGATCTTCATGCTTTCCCTTCTTTCTCTTTTATTGTGTCTTCTCTTTCTACTTTGCTGGCTCTTCTTTATTCTGCCTTCTAACAGTGGACATTCTTCACTTTTCCTCCTTTTCCTCTCTCTACACATTCTTCTTTGGTCAGTTGATCCTGTCTCATGGCGTTAGTCTCCGATTCCAATCCAAGAAACATTTTATAAATGCCTACTATGTATAGAAGGATTTTTTTAAAAAAATGAACCAGTGATCTCACTGGTGTAGGAAACATTAAAGGGACTTCCTCTACCATTGCAGATCAACACCTGCTGTATAGCTTAGAGCCTTAAAGAATAGCCTGCAGTGGTGAGAGGTTGTGATTTGTCCAGGGTTGCCCAGCCAGTAGGTGTCAGCCTGTCATGCATTGCCAAACCCCAACCTTGGATGACTCCCGCCATCCACTGGCCTTTGCTACTATTCATGGACTGCTGAACAGAGTGGAGAAAGTCATGAAACTGACTAGACCCACCACAAATGGATGTTACATAATCTCAACTGGGCCCTCACACAGCCAGGCAATCTTTTAATACCTCTCTAATCAACTTACTTGGAGCAGCTAGGTGGCATAGTGGATAGAGTGCCAGACCTGGACTCAGGAAGACCTGAGTTCAAATTTGGTCTCAGACATTTACTAGCTGTGTGACCCTGGGCAAGTTGCTTAACCCTGTTTGTCTGGGTTTCCTCATCGGTAAAAAGAGCTGGAGAAGGAAATGGCAAACCACTCCAATATCTTTGCTAAGAAAACCTCCCAAAAGGGGTCACAGAGAGTCAGACATGACTGAAAAATGACTGAACTGTTCATTCTTTCACTCAGAATAGCAGATATTCCAGACCTTTTCATCCTCTTCCTGCCTTCCATGTAATCCCTGCCCCAACGTTTCTCAGTTGAGGACCATACTTCACTGAAAAAATTGAGGGCATTTACTGAGAGTTCCCTTTTCTCCCCTTCTTATGTCACATCCTTCACTGCCTCTTCCTTCACCTCTGTTTCATGAGAAGAGGTGGTATTTTTCCTTGCTAAAACAAGGCCTTCTACAAGCACTCTGAATCCCATCTCATCCCATGTCCTGTAGCCAGTTATGCCCACAAGCATCCCCACTTTTTCTCTTATCTTCAGTCTCTTCCATGTATTGGCTCCTTCTCTGATGGCTACAAACACTCCCATGTCTGCATGCTAAAAAAAAAATTCTCACTTGATCCAACCATCCCCTCTAGCTACGTCTTTCTTCCCTTTCTTGGCTAATCTTGAAGAATCTATCTGTGTTCTGCTCCTTTACTTCTTCTCCTTTTACTCAATTCTAAACCTTTTGCAGGCTGTCTTTCAGTTTCATCATTCAACTGAAACTGCTCTCTTCAAATTTACCAGTGATGTCTTAATTGCCAAATGGAATGGCCTTTTCTCAGTCCTCACCCTTCTTGACCTCTTTTTTAGTCTCCTTTGCTGAATCTTCTTCCAGATCACAATCTGCTCAGTATGTATGTCCCTCAAGGCTCGGCCCTTTTCTCTCTATATACTGTTTTGCTTTGTGATTTCATCAGTTTCCATTCAATTATCTAGATTGTGCGTATGATTCTCAGATACATTTGTCCAGCCCTGATGACTCTCTTGACCTATACTCTCTCTTCTTCAACTACCTGTTGGATATTTTGAATTGGATGTCTTGTGGAGACTCTTTGTCTAGATTTGCAGTGCTTGACTTGGAAATGCTAGTTTTCATGTTTCTCTCCCCTTGCTTTCTACATTCCCAATGTCCTAAATTAAACTTTTTAAATTCCTAAGGCTCACAAAATGCTTTCTTTCCCCATAATAACCCTGTGAGGTCAGTAGGACAAATACTGTTGTTATCTTCATTGTCCAGATGTGGAAACTGAAACTCATAGAAGTGACTTGTCTGTGGTCACAAGGCTACTGTACAAAGTGCTAGTACTTACTGGTAAGGTGCAACAAGGTGGATAGATAGCAGTGGATAAAGTGCTGGGCCTGGAGTCAGGAAAACCTGAGTTCAAATCTAAGCACCTGCTTCCCTACTTCTGTCAAACATATTGGTCATATCCCTGATTTTCTATCTTCTTTCCATATTATTTTCTTACCCCTGCACTACTTTTTTTTTTTAAAGTTTTAATGCTGATCAAAAATTGACTGGCTTCCTTTCCTCTTCCGCATATAATTCTGACTTTTTTATATTTTAACATTAAATCTCTTCCAAGTCCACCAGGAGCAGCTTTTCAGATTTAACTTTCTTTCATTGTTTCAAATCATCTCATCTGATTGCTTTTTTCCAGGTGCACTATTTCACCCTTTTTATGTAGCAACATGAATGTGTTTCATAAAAGTGAAACCAACTCTTTTATCACCTTCAAATCCATTCTTAACACCCACTATCTTCATTAATTCTTCATGTAGCAAATATACAAATATGCTCTCTTCTTTTTCTTTCTAGTTGAGCATAGAATTTTCTAGTACCTTTTATTATGAGTGGTAAACTACCCTGGTTTGTTAAAGATAAAATGAATTACTAATATGAAGAGTATTATTGTGTGGTTGATTGGTTAAAAATATTTTAAGGCCAGAGGATTTTGGAGTTGAAAGAGATGTTAGGGATCATCTAGTTAGATCCCCTCACTTTATATATTTAAAAAATGTAATGATTTTTTTTTGAGTCCCACCAGGGGTATCTTGATAAACATTTAACAACAATCTTTCTGAGGAATAAAAGGACTGACACACTTTTGAGTTAAATCTGTATTATTAACACTTTCTTAAATCTAGACAACAAAACAATAAATCAAGCTAATTTATAATGTTTGATGATTTCAGGGGCGTAGATACTCACAATAAAAATTTAATAATCAGGTCTCCAGAGAGTTTGTTAGCATTGGCTCCAGCAAACTCCTAGGTCTCATATTTTAGGAGAAACACTGTCAATATGAAGCACATCTAAAAGAGAGTGATCAGGATAGGGATGGGTCCTCAATCCTCTTTTTAGAGATTCTTTAGGGATTGTCATTTTAGGATCAGTTGAAAGAATTGAAGACGTTGGAGAAGAGTACCATGGAAAGATGTGGTAACTATTTTCAAGTATCTGCAATATTATAACATGGCTTTGGTAGTTTATCAAATGGGTGCAAATGGACAGAAGTTACAAAAAAAGGAATTTTTGATTCTCTATAATTAAGAGCTTTGTATAACAGGACTAACCAATAATCAGTAGGCTGCTTCATACATAAGCATTACATCATCATCTTTCAACTTTCTCCATCCACACTACAACCAATCCTAGTTCTAAGCCTCGTTTCCTCCTAGAGTAGCAATAGCCTGCTAGTCTCAAGTCTCTTCCAACTCCAATCCATCCTGCATGGGGTTGTCAAAGTGATATTTCTAAAGTACAGGGCTCCCCACACTATGCTTCTGCACAGGCTTTCTCCCAATCCTATACCTTTGCCTCTTGAACATCCTAATTTCTTTCATGGCTCAGTTTTAGGGTCACTCCTCTCCCCTCCTCTGCTCCCCCAGAATGTAAGTTCTTTGAGGGTAGAGACTGATTTAGTTTTTGTCTTTGCATCACCCAATCTTAGCATTATCATTGACACACAATAGTAGGCCCTTAATAAATAATTTGCTGAATTGAATAAGCAAAATTTAAAGAGACTATTTATCAATTGGGGAATGACTTGTATTTTTTTTCATAAGTTGGCATTTATTTTTTTAAGTTGAAGAACGGGTTATGAAACGGGTTGGGGGCACATTCATAACAAAGTCCAAGGTGGAGCTCTAGGGGAGAGGGAAGAAGGGAGGAGGCAGGGAGACAGGGAGACGGAGCCTTTCCTCTGGGTCTGCTCCAGATGGGGTTGATCCTGATTTCCGAGCCTTGGTCCAGGGCACACAATGAAGCACACGATAAGGTGAGGTTCCAGGCGCCAGTAAACACCAACGAGTCACCAAAGTTACACATCCAACCAGAGGTGGGGCTGGGATTTTCCTTGGATCAGCAGCACCCTGTCCTTTTAGGAACTGAAGCATAGTGGTAAGTTCTATCCCACTTATTTCAGCCCTTATGAAACATTTCTTGTAGTTAAAGTCTTTGTGCTAATGAATTCTTTCATCGCCTCCCTAACTTCTTGTACTTTGCTTCTAGTTTCTTTGAATATGCATCCAACTTGTAAGCTGCCTGCTGAAGAGCTGCTACTTGTTCCTCAGTTAAAGTGATCTGATCCAGATAAGGCTGAAGTGCTGCAGATTTCTGGTTTGAGTCCTTTAGGTTTCTACTTATGTTTACTGCAGTATCTTTCATTTCTGGATACTTCAAGCTAGTCAGTTTGTTCATATTTTCCAGGAGTTTATAGTCTTCACTGGTGGCTGTCAGCTTACCTGTTAGGTATGTGGCCATTTTGGAGAACATGTCCTGGCACAGCCCCGTGACGTCCACCTTGGTGGGCTCTGTGGCTTCCTTGGCTGTCTCCACCATGGCATCGTTTTGTCCCAGACCCTCCTGCTGGGCTGCAGGTATGCCCTTGGCCATGGCCACCATGCCCGAGCCTTCTTAGGCCCGCAAGCAGAATGACTTGTATTTTTATAAATTTGACTCAGTTCTCTATATATTTGAGAAATGAGGCCTCTGTCAGAGATACAATGGATCATTGTCTTTTGGTGTTGTTATGGAGAAGATTCTAGCACTTGAGTGGGTGGACTTGATAACACATAATGTTCATCTTCCTTCTTATGAGTCTAAGGGTGATTTATACGTAGTAGGTGCCTAATAAGTGTTTGTGGATTAATGAAATTCTTTGATAATTAGTATTAGTGCTGATTTACATTAAAAAATTTAAACATATTTATTTAAAGTTTTGAGTTCCAAATTCTATTTTTTTCCTCCCTCCCCACCCCCCTTCCTGAGATGACAGAAAGTGAAAAATAGTATGCTTCAGTCTGTATTCAGTCAATATCAGTTCTTTCTCTGGAGGCAGACAGTATGCTTCATCATTAGCTCTTTGGGATTGTCTTGGATCATTGTGTTGCTGAGAATAGCTAAATTATTCAGAGTTCTTTTTCAAGCAGTATTGCTGTTACTGTGTATAAAGTTCTCCTGGTTCTGTTCACTTCACTATGCATCCATTCATGTAAGTCTTTCCAGGTTTTTCTGAAATCATCCTGCTTGTCATTTCTTATAGAATAATAATATTCCATTACAATCATATACCACAGCTTATTTAGCCATTTCCCAGTTGATGGGCATCTCTTTGGTTTTCAATCTTAGCCACCACAAAAAGAGCTGCTATAAATATTTTTGTACAAGTAGGTCTTTTCCCTCTTTTTTTGGATGTCTTTGGGATATTGACCTAGCAGTGGTATTGCTGGATCAAAGGGAATCCATAGTTTTATAGCCCTTCGGACATAGTTTCAAATTGCTCTTCAGAATGGCTGGATCAGTTCACAACTCCACCAGCAGTGTGTTAGTGTCCCATTTTTCCCACATCCCCTCCACTATCTAACATTTTCCTTTTTTGTCATATTAGCCACTCTGATAGGTGTGAGGTGGTACCTTAGTTGTTTTAATTTGCATTTCTTTGATCCATAGTGATTTAGAGCATTTTTATATGACTTATAGATAGCTTTGATTTCTTGTCTGAAAACTGCCTGTTCATATCCTTTGACCATTTATTAATTGGGGAATGACTTGTATTTTTATAAATTTGACTCAGTTCTCTATATATTTGAGAAATGAGCCCTCTATCAAAGATATTTATTGCAAAAAAAAATTCCCCATTTTTCTGCTTTCCTTATAATATTGGTTTCATTGTTTTTGTGCAAAGACTTTTTAATTTTATATAATCAAAATTATCTGTTTTACATTTTGTAATTCTCTCCATATCTTCTTTGGTCCAAAATTCTTCCCTTATCCATGAATCTTACAGATAAATTATTCCATAGTGCTGATTTAAATTAAGCCAGATAAACAAACCTCTTCTTCTGGGTGAACTATATAACTGACTTTCAAAGTTCTCAAAGCAAAAATGTCATATTATTTTCCTTAGGTAAAGTCGGAAATTACTTTACTCATAATTCTCTTTCAAAGTATATTACACTTTGGTTTGTTTTCCAAGGTCCTAAATGGTGTTTGGAATCTGAGCAGATCCCATCTATTCAGGTTTCCCTTAGGAACAATAACACTAGGACATTTTAGTAAGAAGCGGGGAAGGCAGAGGGCATTTTGAGATGCCTTGTTTAAATTATTTTCTTAATAAGGGTTCACAGTTGTATTGTGCTTTATAATTTGTATAGTTCTACCCTTGTAACAATACTGTGAGGTAGATAATATAAATTTGGTATCAGTGCTATAACTAGTAATTTCTGTGCCCAGGGCAAGCAGCACCAATTGGGGAAAATAACAGCAAATGTACCTACAAATCAATTTTGGAATTCATAATGTGAAAATAATATGAGAAGTAATTAATGTAAATTCAGTTTAATGAGAGAGAAAATCCCTTACTTAGGGAATATATTGAATGTCAGTGTTGGAAAGAACCTTGGAAGTCATTTACTGTCCCATGCTCATTCTTCTGCACCAGAGACACCCAAGTGAGGCTCCTTCTTTTAGGTGGGAAGGTAACAGTAGGCTTATTACTTGGCTTCACTAGAGGAGAAGTATCTTTGTAAAGGGGAGATAGGTAGGAGGAAGGTGAGTCTCCCTGCAAAGGAGAAGCCTGGGGGAGTGAATGGGGTATGAGTTGATTGAGCTTTCTTTGTGGATTGGGAGAGTGAGGCCAAAGGCTATGTGCTAAGAAACATGTGAAGACTTTCCCCAGGGGAATGTGTAGAGGAGAACAATTTGTTCCAACAGCCATGAAAGTGGCTGAAGCAGGCACTGTGGAGGGCTTAGAGCTTGGTCAGTCCTCGAAGATGCCAAGGTCATCCACTGCATCCCAGGCCATCAACAGTCTTCTTGACTTTTGTCCTGTCACTGGACTGCAATGACTCAGGAAGAGAGAACGAGATGGATGGCTTTGCCACAATTCCGCCTCACTTAAATCCAATTCACAGGCAAGTCAAGACATTACCCATGATGTCATTGGTCCTTGTGGAAAATGAAGGATAAACAACAACAGCTACAAAAAGATAGAGAAAAAAGGAAAGAGAGCAAATGTTGCAAAACCTGAACCTCATCTTCTCTTTAATACCATCTGAGAGGGTTTAAATTCTGATCCCCTACTCCCCTAACTCTGTCTACTTTGCAAAGTATCGAATTTTTAATGTTCAATTCATTTGGACTGAAGCATTAAAGGTTTGTGCTCTTTAAGTTTCTTCCAGTGGGATAAAACTACAGTGGCACCACACTAGTTCAATCAATTAATAGTGTTTATTGATTGATTAAACATTTATTAAGTACTTACTATGTGCCTGACACTATGCTAAGTGCTGGGAATACAAAAAGAAGCAAAAGATACTTCCTGTCTTCAAGGAGCTTACAATCTAATGGGGGAGTGTGCCAGCCACGCCGTGCACTCTCCTCCTATAAGGAGCAGGCTGCCAGAGTCATACTACTTATCAGTCTTTGGAGCCTACCCGGATAAACACACAGAGACGAGCCTACCAGGAGGTGCCAACACCCGAGCTTTATTCAGAGGCCATCACAGCAAGGCCAAACAGGAAGGCCATAGCAAGAGAGCAGGAGCAAAGACAGAGCATGCTCCGACCCCCGACCCCGTTCCTTAAGTACCTACTTAGCCCCTCCTCCTCAGCCCGCCTACTAGTCAATGATTGTAGGGTCAGATACCGGAAGGGGATGTCTGAGTTTAGCGCACCAAGGGAGAGGAAGTGACGCAGGAGGCTAGGACCGGATACAGGAAGGAGGCGTCTGGGATTAGTGCATAGACAAAGAGAGAGCACGTGACCTAGGAAGTCAGGCCCAGATACCGGGAGGAGGCGTCTGGGGTCAGTGCTACACAAAGGGAAGGTACATGACCCAGGAAGTCAGGAAGGACACAGGAAGGAGGCGTCTGGGGTTGACGTTGCATTTAGGGAGGGGACCAAGCAAAGGGAACTCGTCCTCTGCCGTCCCACTCCCACGTGGCACAGCCCCCTGCCTCAGGAGCACGTGCTCTGGATACTTCCTTGTATTCTGTTCCTTCCCCAGCTATCACAGCTCCAATAGCACTGCCCACTGCCTCAGGAGTGTGAGCTCCGGTTACTTCCTAATATCTTGTTCTTACCCCATCTTGCCACAACTGTCACTTGGCAGTAGCCAACATCAGACAGTCCCTCACAGGGGAGAAAGCATACAAACAAATATACACAAAGCAAGCTATATTCAGGATAAATAGGAAATAATTAACAGAGGGAAGGCTCTGGAACTGAAGGGTTGAGGAAGGCTTCCTGTAGTGACTTTTATTAGTATTCCCATTTTACAGGTAACGAAACAGAGGTTCAGAGAAGTTGTGACTTGCCCAAGGTATCAGAGCTAGTAAGTGTTAGGGTTCAAACCAGGTGTTTTGACACCTTGTCCAGCTTGCACTATATATCTCAATGCCTTCTTCCCCCGGAGAGGTTTGTACTTAGGTTTGCTGTACAGGTCTGTTGATTGAAAATCCTTAAAGCGCTATTGTCTTGTTGAGAGCTTCTTGCCCAAAGAAACAAATAGAAAATGGTTCTGACAGTGGTGACCCCTCTCTGCCCTGACTGAGGTTCCTTATTTGGTTCTGCCACAGGTTCAGTGTTTAATTTGTTAAAGGCACTCGAAAGGTTATCAGCTCTTGTGAGGGAGGGAGCTTTCTGAGAGTCTTTAGTGGTGAGAAGAAAAGGTCAGAGGGACATTTTCTATAGGTGTTAGAAAAACAAACAACTTTTCGTTTTGAAGCCAGGCTCACCCCTACTTGCCTTGTTTTTCCCCTGTAGGGATGGCTCGACTGTCACAACCCTGCAACCCATGACTATCCAAATTCTTTGTGGTTCTGGCTTATTATGCCAGGTGGAAGCACATCCTTCAAAACTTGGTTGCTGTTGAATCTTTTTTCGGTCTTTGTTGTGTCGTGACTTTTTTCGACCCCTTTTGGGTTTTTTTGGACAAAGAGTGCTTTGCCATTTCCTTCTTCACCTCATTTTATAGTTGAAGAAATGGAGGCAAACAGCGTTAAGTGACTTGCCCAGGGTCACATAGCTAGTAAGTGTCTGATTTTAGATTTATTTATTTTATTATATTTTATTTTTTGCTAGGCAATGGGGTTAAGTGACTTGCCCAGGGTTACACAGCTAGTAAGTGTTATGTGTCTGAGGTGGGATTTGAACTCTGGTCCTCCTGATTCCAGGGCCAGTACTCTATCCACTGCACCACCAAAGGTTAGATTTAAACTCAAGAAGAGGAGTCTTCTTGACTCCAAGCTCAGCATTCTCGCCACTGCACAACCTGGCTATCCAGGTACAGTTCCGTTTAGCTTCCCTGGACTATTCCAGCCCACAGAAATCTCTTCCTTCTCTGTTTGCCTTTTAGGCTTAAGATATTTACCCTTCAGTTAAGTGCTTTACATTCTGTAAGTG